GAGGAGAGACCCATTGTTGCATCTTACCCTCTTTGCCTCCTTTCAGCTGTCATCTGTGCATGCTGATGATTCATAGTCAGTCTAGATCTTTGCCCTATAACCCTCATCTAAACACCAGCATCTTTTCAGTTACAGTTGCTTTCTTCCTTCAAAGATTTTTTTTGGGGTGTCCTTTGTTAGTTCATGTAGCTACTTTTTAATCCCCATGACAGTAGCCTCTAGTCATTCCTTTGCAGTACAACAGTCCCACTTCTGACCTTCAACACCTACAGTGGCTCTCTGTCACTCGTTACAGAATTAAAACCCAACTAATTCTCCCTGTACTTCAGTGCCCTACCCCATCTTGTGTGCTTTGTGCCATCTGCTCCAACCAGAATATATTCCTGGACATCTCCTGCAGGTAACAACTTTATTCTTCTTTTCTTTATTGTTTCTTTCTCCCTGTGATGTCTGACCATTCCTATCCTAGCTGTCTTTAAACCCACTGCCATCAAGTCAGTTACAACTCATAGTGACCCCCAGTGGGTTTCCAAGGCTATAAATCTTTACAAAAGTAGATTGCCTCATCTTCCTCCTGTGGAGCAGCTGGTGGGTTTGAACCACCAACCTTCTGATTAGCATCCAAATGCCTGCTCCAGTACACCACCAAAGATCGGGCAGGACCAAATCCCATAACTCTCTGAAACCTTTCCCAATTCCTGGCTGGAAGTCATCTCCTTTCTGACCAGCATGCACTTTGATATTTGGTGATAATCTTAGTGCCACTCTCCTGTCAGCAGAGTGTGATGGAAAGGGTATAAACTTGGGAGAAAATTTGGGCTGAGATTGAAATGTGTGGCTTGGGGAAGTTCTAACTTTTCTGAGCTTCCATTTCCTCATCTGTAAAAATGAGGTGATAATTACTGGATTGTTGTGAGGAACAAATGAGAGCACACTGCCAAATGAATGGCATTGTGCAGCCTTAAGTCACCAGAATATTATGAAGTCAAAATTAGCTTCTTAGGAGCAGAAATAATTCCCTTCTTTGCTTGTTAGTTCCTCAGTGAAAGATACATACTGAGTACTTGATAATCATTTGAACGAATATTCGTCGTTGTTAGGTGCTGTCAAGTCTCATAGTGACCCCATGTATAACTGCCCGGTCCTGTGCCGTCCTCAGTCATTGCTAAGTTTGA